ATGTTCATGGTTAATGGGTAGAAAATTGAGGCACATTGCAGCTCAAAAAATTTTAGATGCTCACATTATTTTTAAAATTAGTAATAATTTTAATGCCACTCTGGATGTTTCCTCCTCCTCCTTCCTTTTCCTTTACAAAGGAATGAAGGAATGCTCCTCAATGCAAAGGATACAGCCTTGGTATAATACCAAGGACAGATCCAATGGCAGCTTCACGCTCAGAGGAGGAAACTCCATCTCTTCATCGTGGCTAGGTGTTGTTGCTAGAGTGTTTTCTAGCAGTGGGACATGTACTACAGAAATAATCCTAGTGAGTACAGCCTTGATTGGCTGGAGGCTTTCTGTGTGTTTTTATACTCACATATCTACTTGAGGCAATCGTGGGTTGGAGCTATTACTATTTAGCAACTGTTCACAGCTTTCTTTTGAAGTTATCTTGGCATAAAATAGCATAATTTTATTTCCATATTTTTTAATGAGGAATTATAAAATTTTATCCTTGCTAACTATGGACACCTGCTTTTGTCAGGATTGTCTCTTCCTTTAAAACTTAATTGAGTTTGCTAAAGTAATAGGCAATGTAATACTAATCCTTTTTTTTTAGTTTAATTTTGCTCTAAGATTAAGTGAAGGAGACTCCTCACTGAGTGGCACTGATGCTTACAATAGGCTGAGGCAGTTATTGAACAGATATAAGAGGAACCAGTTACTCTTACAATGGACTGAACAGTTGGATGAGTTCACTGGGTCTGTCATTAGCGACTATCACTCACTACAATCCAATGACATTCCTTCAAAAGTAAAGTGTGACACATATTAGCAATACATTTGTATTGAGCCACTTCTGTAAAATAGTAACTAGTTTTAATATGTACTTTGTTCCTTTTTTGTAGTTGAGTAAGGAAGAGAGAGAGGCAGCTATTAAGCTTCTACTTATGAAAAGGAAAAGAGCATTCACTGATCTTTTTAAGACCTTGAAGTCAATGGGTGAGATTAATAGTGTTTTTAAATTAACTAAAACTCAAGATACATGTACCTGTATTTTTGCCAGTCATTATTATTTTACTGCAATAAATATTTATATATGTGTATGTACATGTGTGAATAATATTTGTTTTCTAATCATACATTACAGCTCTTTATAATGCTTATTTATGTTCATAGGTTTGTCTTATAGAAAAGGTGAAGAATTGTCAGATCAAAACCTTCAGCTCCTATCCCTCACTTCTCCATCTCTTATTAAAGAAGCACTTGACACTACACTCATTAATGATTGCAACTTGTATTTCTTTCGTTGTGTATTAAGATCTGCCGCACTCAATTCTGCATTAGCAACACCATCAAAAGTCAGTGAGCCACACATTATTTTATTATTATTAGTCAATTGTGATTCATGTAATAGGAATTGAGTGTGATACATGTATTGTGGATTAGAGGCTACTGTGTTCAGTTAATGGATGCATTGTGTGTGCAAAGAGAAACGCTATATAAAGGACAAAAAGAACTCCTTTTATTCAAGTAATTAGTAAATAAATAAATACTGTCACTTCTGCTTGATTTCTCTATTTGTTTTTTTTTATTATTTTTTTAAATTTTATAGTCATTTATTAGAAAGGTTAAGAGTTTCTTCAGATTGTGTAGCTGTTTCACTTACTGAGTATAAGAAATGGCTGGTAAGTTTTATTGTTCATGTATGTATATAAGAATAATTATGTAATATAATTTGCCATTTTTTCAAAAATAACATGGGCTATATACATGTATAATTCAGGGTAAATTTAAGATTTTGGCATATTCTTAAAAATGACCATAACTTGAAAAATTTAAGTCAGAATCAGCTCAAACTTTCTACATAGCATAAGGACATCAATATGTATCAGAAAATATAATAAAAATTGGGGGTCATTTTTTAGCCATTTTTCAGAAAAAATCATGGACTATAGTACAGGGTAATTTTCAGATTTTGGCATATTCTTAAAAATGGCCATAACTTGAACAATTTAAGTCAGAATCAGCTCAAACTTGCTACATAGCATAAGGACATCAATATGTATTAGAAAATGTAATAAAAATTGGTAGTCATTTTTTAGCCATTTTTTAGAAAAAAGCATGGGCTATAGTACAGGGTAACTTTCAGATTTTGGCATATTCTTAAAAATGGCCATAACTTGAAAAATTTAAATCGGAATCAGCTCAAATTTTCTACACAGTATAAGGACATCAATATGTATTAGAAAATGTAATAAAAATTGGGGGTGATTTTTTTAGCCATTTTTTAGGAAAAAGCATGGGCTATAGTACAGGGTAATTTTCAGATTTTGGCATATTCTTACAAATGGCCATAACTTGAACAATTTAAGTCGGAATCAGCTCAAACTTTCTACACAGCATAAGGACATCAATATGTATTAGAAAATGTAATAAAAATTGAGGGTCATTTTTTAGCCATTTTTCAGAAAAAAGCATGGACTATAGTACAGAATTTTGGCATAATTTTTAACCATAATACTTATGCTATGTACTAAAGTTCTTACATCTCAATGTTTGCATTTTAATGTTATCTTATGTTTAATTATTTCCAATAGATTTGTCTTTGTGATTGCTTGCAACAATGCGTTGAAGGAATCAGTGCCTGTCAAGAGATATCTGAGATGATTCCAGACGCCATTGATGTCTCTCTTACTCCTCTACCTCCCTCATCCCTCCCTCCTCTATTGACTGAGCCTATTATTATGAAGAAAGAAGGAGAGAAGCTCTCGGAATGGAGCAAAGTGTTAAAGGATAAGCTCCAAACTGCAATTGAGTACACTAAGAGTATGAAGAGAAATGGGTTTTATTTTATCACAAGGTTAGTTTTAAAATTATTAAGTACATTATCATGGGTGTGGCTGGTTAAGCTGATCAACAAGCATGGTCTTGGGTAAAGATTTTTGATAATTTATTTTAATTTTTCTATCTAGAAATGAGCTCTTATTCCTCACTAATGGATACACACTACTGCAAGAGTTTGTAGCAGACCCAGTCAACCAGTACTTGAATGCTACACTAGGAAAACATAATGACAGGTAAACCTTTAAATGTACATGTAATGAATGGTAATTAACATTAAGATGATTGAGCGATTATCTATTTTATTTTTTAGCTTTGATTCTTTGTGTTTTATGAAACGCCTACAAAGCAAAGTTTCACTGAAATGCCAGGAATTTAGTACTTGGACTGCTGACGTTGTAGGATCGACCAATCAGATTGCTCCAGTCACATGTGATTACGAGTCAATGCTCAAGCCTTTATTGCTTGGTGTTCAGCATGTGATGGAAAAAGAGAAAGTTATGAAGGGAAAAAGTGAAGAGGATGAGGATGGGCTTCCTGTTTATAAACTCCTTTGTGATTTCTCCTCAAGTAATTTAAAAGAAATCAACACCAATGAAGTTAGTACTGTAATTTGTTACACATAATAATACATGTACATGTAGTCATGTTTAATCTCCATTTTAAAATCATGTTTTTCTCTTTTTAATTCAAATGAACTCTGCATCATCATTATTATTATTATTACACATATCAATTATATTAATACTGAGTATACATAATATTATTAAGGACATGTTTTCTTATATCAATTTTCAGGTTATAAACTGTTTGATTACAATACTTGAAAGTGGTTCTGCTCCATGCAGTAGTGAAGTTTTAATTCCATTTATGGAGAAGTATCACTCCTTACTTGAAAGAGTTTGTTATGAACATGCATTGGTACACAGGATTCTATCAAAGATGACCTCTTGTCTATTGGAGATATACACCAATGTACTAATAAAGGTACTATTTGTGATAGTGTGAGATTACATGTAGAGTTGATTATTGTTTATACATCAAAAGTTTTAGAAACTACAACATTAGTGGCCTATGTAGACATAGTTTATCAATCAATCTTGAATGTAAAAATATTTAATTTTCAATGTTTATGTTAATAGTATAATACCTTTTTTATTGCTAATTTTTAATTGTTAGTATTTATCATTAAATTGTGTTTTGCAGGGTTTTTGTGTGCCCCCTGAACTAATGGAGGATACTAAAGGAGGAGAAGAATTCGTCGATCAAGAAGCTGGTGGTTTTGATGAAGGAGAAGGAGCTAATGATGTCAGTGAGAATATTGACAAGAATAATCTGGTAAGTGAACAGTGTTGCTATCAAAAGTAGATAGCATAACAGTACCATCT